AACATATTCAAGGAGGATGTTGCCGGCAGCGACGAATGCCACGAAGTCGCCTAGTTCTACCCTTAAGTAGGCAAATGATCCACCTGAACAAAGTTATTGAAAGTTTAAAACTTATTTCAATGGATTCATGCAACTAAATTGCCAACATTAACAAAGTTCTTGAAAGTTTAATGCTTTACAGTTCTTAAAAAAGATAAAAAGATTTATCAAATACTTAAAGTTTATAAATTAAATAATACTACAAACAACATAAAACCAATGAAACAGCCATCCCAATCAAATTTAAATCACAACTGATTGTTTCAAGAACCCAACTTTGTGTATTTTGTGTATTCATTGATTAAATTAATTTCCCTTCTCAAAACAATAATAATAATAACAGCTATCAACAAAGCTAATTTATATTATTTATTTGAAGTTCGATAAAAGTTAAATTATTTAAAATGTCACACTTTCTTATGTATCTCTATCTCTAGAAACCTGCCACATGTGCTACTATGTTAGCTTTATTTATTTAAGGAAACTTCAGCCACTTGAAAAGGACCTTCTACCTTATCTTTAAAATAATTTTTCTCTAAACTTAATTGACAGTTGTATAAATTATAGTTTGAAACTAATGACGCTAATAGTTTAAATATTAATATTCCATTTCATAGTCATTTATTTTTTTAGTTTTTTTAAAAAGGCTTAAAAGCTTTATTTATTTGTTCTTTTCTTTGTCTATTTGTTATCATATATATATATATATATATATATATATATATATATATATATATTTGAAATTTGGTTAAGGATTCACACAAATCCTTGACATTGATAAATTGTATAAAATGGTATGAAAAGAAGCCCACTTTTAAAATCCAAACAAATTTATTAAATGAGGTCTAAGATTTCAAATTTAGACCATTATTTATAATTAATTTTATTTGACTTCATTTAAAATCAAATCAAAAGTGGATAACATTCTATCAATTTATTCTTCCGAAATTCAAGATTTAGAAAATACATTTTTAGTGCCTAAAATTTGGTGTATTTTCCTTTCAGACTTTTAATTCAAAATATTATTATTATTTTTTTTTTTTTGAAGTTTAGCTTTCAATTCATCTCTAGATTTTATATTTTAGATCATTTAATTCGGAGTTAGTGACAAAATTCATAGAAACTATATTAATTATAATTTTTTTAAAAAAATTAAATTAATAAATAAGAATAAACAAAAAGACTAAAATTGAACATTATTGAAAAACTTGATAGTGAAAATTGATAAAATCTGATCTAAACTCACAACTTCGCTAAAAGTTAAGGTTAAATAGGGCAAAAGAGGAGTTTTGGTGATAATAAAAATGTAATATTTGGAAAACTAGGGACATAGGGGTATAAATGGAAATTTAGAATAATTTTTTTAATTTAATAAATAAATAATGAGAATATGACCCTCATATTTCACTTGTGAGTTAATATATTATTCATAATTTTAAAAACTCAAAAACGATTTAAATAAAATTATTGGACATTGAGATTAATTTTATTACGATGAGAAGCATGTGAGAGATAGGTTTGGAAAGAAGCACGTACCGGCGGCCGGAATCTCGATGGCAAACTCAGTGTAACAGAAGACGGAAAGCATGGCGGAGACACCGGAGATTATGTAAGACAAGACGACGGCAGGGCCGGCGTGTCTCCTAGTCTCGAGACCTGTGAGGACAAATATTCCGGCGCCGATGACGGCACCGACGCCGAACCACATGAGGTCCCACCACGTGAGGCTCTTCTTCATCTCGTGCTGGCTTTGAGCCTTCATCTCGACAAGTTCGGTGTGCTCGGCCGACCGGGCCATGAGCCGGTCCAAGAGGCGAGCTGGCGTCGCCTTCAGCGCTTTTGTATAATTCCCCCAACTCTTAAAGGACTCCTCTGGAAGAAAATCTTCCTTCGTACAGCCACAGGATCTTCTTCTGATCCCTTGGCCATCACCGGCGTTACTGTTCGATTGCTCCATTCCTATTTCACACTGAAACAGTCAACCATAAACAACAGAAGTTTAGGAGAGAAATAAGTAATCTCAGCTCTGCCTCATTGTGTTTGTTTACCGAGAAAATGCACAAGCCTACAATAAATAATGGTTTAAGATTAAATCTCCGTTTTGCCCCTGTAATTGGGGCTTCGTCTTAAAAAACGATCAACATTTTGAAAACACAAATCAATTTAATTCCAGTAAACTCCAATTTCAACTTCTATCCATTTGAGTTCTACTTGAAAACCATTGCCACAATTAGGAAAATGCCGATATCTAAATGAAGAGAATCGATTTAGATTCGTTTACATTTGCACAGAATCAAAATCATAAACAATGCAGGAACCAGAATGAGATCCAAACCTAATCAAAATGAAATTGAAACCTATCTAACAGAAGAGGTCAAAATCACAAAAAAATTACGAAGCATTTAAGTCGGCGAAAACACAGCAAAATCAAAATCACAAAAAGATTATGAAGCATTTAAGTCGGCAAAAACACAGCAAAATCAAAACAAGCTCTGTTAATGGAGATACAAGCATTTCAAAATCCGCCAGAAAGACGCAAATTCGAATATGAGACGATTCAAGTCGCATTATCACTATTCCGTGCTAAAACAAAAACAAAAACCGCAATCGCCATCGCCATTTCACAGAACCTCACATTTTCAAACATTTTAAAAACAAAAATCAACTCACAGATTCCGAGAGAGAAGGAGAAGAAAAACTGACCTGGCGACGACGAGAGGTGAGAGAACTCAGGCGACCGGAAAATAAAAGAAGGGGAAGAGAGAGTGCTTAAGTCAAGGCGGGAAGACGGAAGAGAGGGAAAATGGGTTATAAAGGTAGAAAACCGGAAGAAAGAAGGAGAAACGACCGACGACAGCCGGTACACTATGGTTTCAGACTCCGAAATTTGACAACGAACTGCCACCTGGCGGTTAATGGTACGGTCACATTTGGGGTACCAAGCTGAGGTTTCTAAATTTAATCATTTTAAGAAGATTCACGTTTTACTCAAGCAGTTAAAAGGGAATATACGACACGTCGTATCTCCAAATCGGACTGACTCGAGTCCTTTGCCTTTGAAATCGCTTTGGATTATCGACTTTTTCAGACTATTGTCGTCCAACCAAAATTAAAGTTTCTATTTAAAAAAAATTTCACTCTCTCAATTTCCCGATTTAGTTTCTGATTTTTAATTTAACTGCTCCAGAAAAAAAAAAAAATCAATTTTTATTTCTGAAATTATAATAATTTGTGCAATAATTAAACTTAATTTAATACTAATTTGGATAGGACTATTCACGATAGTTGAAATTACCTTTTTTTTTTTTTTTTGAAAAATTGAGAATGATATCCTGTAGACATAACAATTCTTTCCCCTTTGTATTATTATATATATATATATATATATATATATTTAGTTCAATTCTATAAGTAAATTATAAATTTGTTTATTTGGTTTAATATCATCTTTTATCACTTGAATAATAGGGTCTTCTTAATATTTCATAAATTAAATGAAAAACTAATAATAATAATTTGGAGCGTGGTTTAATATATTATGTAACTAATATAAAAGATAATTTTTTTAATTGTATTTGATATATTAAATATTTATATATATAATAATTTAAATAAAAAATATTTAAAATTGACTCCTCAACGTTAAAAGATAGCTTATTGACTAGATTCACTACTGAGAAAACACCCGATGTTGACCATACCAAGAGACACGAATGTATAAGTAATGTTAGTTAGCAAAATAGTGGTAAGCATCTGTGAGCAAAGTGTAGTAAAATGTGAATATATACTTTATTATCTAGGAGGAAGTAGAAACACTAATTGATCCATTTATTGTTTCAACTTACTATCAATAAATTATATCTTAAATGACTTTAAAATGGCCAGTTGTGTAAATGCCTATAAAAATAAGGTAATTATTAACTTCCTATTAAATTAAATAAATGCAAGCTATATTCCCTGGGATGAGTCTTTAAAAAGTAATAATAAAATCCCTAGTTGACTTATTTCAATCCGACCCTTTTTTTTAAATTAAAAAATGACCTCAGTTTAGTTACAATATATCTAACTAATAAAATAAAATAAAATAAAAACTTTGACCTTATCTAAAGCCATTTCTTTTCCATACTTAAAAATTTCAATTTGATATTTAATATTTAATATTTTAATATTTTTAAAATTATGGAAAACGTTAAAATTGACTGATATGACTATTATATTTTTTAAAAGAAGAAAATTAAAAAAAAATTGGATTATGAATAAGATTTTTTAAATTTATTTTTAAATAATTTAATAAAATTGAAATTATTCCAGAAATAATATGAAGAAACTTGGTTAGGGGTTTAAATTTGAGATTATATGAAAGTTTTAATAAACATGTAAATTTTAATTTTTAAAGTTAATTAGTAATTATGTTTAGGAGCGTGAGTGACAGTTTTGGAGTATGGGAATTTGTAATTATTTTTATTTTTTAAAATTCTGAAATTTGAAATAATTTATCTGAGCATAAATAAAATGTTAAATCTTTAATGCCTTTTGAAATGTAAATGAACAAAGAAAATAAATATTCGTAATAAATAACAATCAATATGGGCCTATGGACGGCCCAATCTCTTACTATCCCACATCGCTTAGTTCTAAATATATTAAGCGTTTATATAGCGCAGGCGATGTCGATAGGTCGTCCCTTCGGGGACATCCGATAAAATTGGAACGATACAGAGAAGATTAGCATGGCCCCTGCGCAAGGATGACACGCACAAATCGAGAAATGGTCCAAATTTTTTCTTTTCTAAAATTACCAATGTTGTGATTTTACGACCTTACCCCTCTCAGATTGTATCGTTTTCTCCTCTGGCCGTGGAGAGCTCGCAGTATCCATGGCTTCCTTCTTCGTCGTCTTCTTCTTCCAACACCGTGGTATTCATCGGTTTCTATTTATTTATTATTATTATTTTTCGGTTTTGCATATTTTTCTACTTTCAAGATGCATGAATAAGCTCGTTTTCTAGCAATTTTGTCCGAAACAACTGATTTCGGTGCGGAGAAGCTTGAATTCCTGCATTAGGGTTACGTCTCCCTTCTTGATTCTCTCTTTTCCTATACGTTTGATTTAAGCTGTCTATGAGGGCTGGTTTGAGTTGGAATTTGGTGCTTTATCATTTTCTTTTCCTATGAGGAAGACGGATGGAGCATCCAATTAGGGTTTCGTTCGTGATTTTTAGTTTCTCGGTGTTCAATTGAGCCAGTCCTCGCTGTACTATGTGTTCCGCTTGATTCTTGTTTGTAGGTTATGAATTGAATACGTTTCTTCTATCTTGCTTGGCCATGGAATATGATTGCGAACAAGTAACGTAAACAAAATGCTCTGAAATTGGATCTGGGTTTATGTAGAACAAGATAACATTGGGATTTTTGTTTATCTTGGATTTGTAATTGAATGGTATTTCTTTCAGGGAGAACCAAGAAGATGTCAACTTATTGTTGCTATTCACCAAGATCATAAGCACCAATTTGTTCATTCAGCTCAAACTGTGACAACATCATCCGATGATCCAAGAAGATACCAAGCATTTGATCGCTTCACCCTCACAGCACAGGGGAAGTAGTTCACACCCTTGACATAAAGAACAGATGAACCCTCGTGGAGTGACAATAGATCATGCACTATAGGCCTCCAAAAGACTGCCCTGCCATGGCTATTTGCTTGCTCTTCTTTCTAAAATGGAAAGGGAACGCTGTTTCTTAAGACGTGCCGACCTGGTGAGTGTTTGTTATGATTATGTTAGATCATGAACGGCTTGTTTTAAGTTATTTGGTCCTAGAATCTAGTTGTTTGCTTTACAGACTGTTTTGGGTTGACTAGGTACCTTGTAAGAATGTTTTAAGGCGCAATAGGAATTAAGGTCTACTTGGGGTTACCCACATAGGAATTCTTGGAATCATGGAGGATATACTACTACTCTACTGAGTTAGCCTTAGCCTGGTCATGCCTAGAGAGCCATGAGTTTATACTTTTCCAATTCAAGGTGGGTGGTATGAACAAGTAGTTTACCATTCTACCTTGAGAAAGTAGTGAACATGTAGTTACTGTTCCTAAAGCAGGTAGTTTATCGTTCCAATATGAGGAGGGTGATATGAACAAGTAGTTTACTGTTTCAGCCTGTAAAGACAATGTGACAGGTAGTTTACTAGAAATCTTCGTTTTTTTCCTCTTTCTCGAACCCGCATCGTTAGCTTGGAAGGCTAGGGGTTATAGTCGACGTTGATTCATCATTTTGAATGTCTCTAATTCAAAACCGAACGTGAAACTTTGGTTGAACTAGGTGTCTTTCTTTCTTTAAGTCAGAGGTTTAAGGAAAGATTCATTCTACTTCCCTTCGCTACTTCACCTGAACAAGTAGTTTACTAGTCTTAAGAACAGGTAGTTGCTGCTCGACACCACTAGGAAGAATCATCCGAATGGAGTCCAGTAAGTATACACGTGTGGAGTACGATCATCGTTTTTAGAGCAAAGGGGCTCCTCCATAGGTTTGAGAATTATCCTAGGGCCTTTCTAGGGGTTACAGTGACTCAACGTGCATTTAGCGCAAGGTTGACTACGAATCTAGACAAACGTAAAACTCAAAGTACTAAAAACTCTTATGTTATCAGATCTCTCCTTAGAGGAGGTTATGCACAAGGGTTTAAATACATATGAACCATAAAAGGTTAGCATAGACTTTGAGCCACAATTTTGGCTAACTCCAGTGGGGTATGAGCACATAACTTCAGATTTCGTGTATATGAATTTAGTTGGACGAGAGCTCATAAGTAGATTGCTTACCGAATATTTTAATACTCACTATTACTATATTTTATTTTTCAGGTGACCAGTAGCTTACTAACCATAGTGAGAGACGTGTTGAGCCGTGTGGTTGCAGAGGGTACGTTAATTCGAGTTTTGTAAACTACTTGTTTATAACTTTCGAAACACCCTTGGTTTGTGAATGAATTTTGTATTGCGCACACCTTTAAAACTTAATAGTATTGTTATAATGTATTTATGTTAAAGTTTGTTTTTCTTTAATGTGTATTCTCATGCATTGAAAGCGGGTCGTTACAATAATTCTTCATTATAAAATGTAAATCTCAAAACTCATAATTTTCACTTCTCAAAAACTAACTTACTACATGAATATTCACGATCGAGTGAACTTGAAAATAAGCCGAATTCGAATTACATACCCATTGTACCAAATTTGAAAGTTATTGTCAACAAATTTCTTGAAAACTCTCTACTCATGAAAATATTTTCATTTATAAGTACAAATTGCAACACTAATGAGTCTAGAATACTGTTTTTAAGAAATGTTCGTAGGAGTCGACGGTGACAATAGACAAATAATTAATTATTTAGGGTTTAAGAACCCATTTATGTCCAATTATATTTTGGAATATGTAATTATTTTTATTTTTTAAAATTCTGAAATTTGAAGTAATTCATCGCAAAAATAAAATGTTCCATTTTTAGTGCCTTTAGAAATGGAACAAAGAAAATAAATATTCGTAATAAATAACAATCAATATGGGCCTATGCACGGCCCAATCTCTTACTATCCCACATCGCTTAGTTTTAAAGATATTAAGCGTTTATTAGCGCAGGCACCTTCGGGGACATCCGATAAAATTGGAACGATACAGAGAAGATTAGCATGGCCCCTGCGCAAGGATGACACGCACAAATCGAGAAATGGTCCAAATTTTTTTTCTAAATTACCAATTGTTGTGATTTTACGACCTTACCCCTCTCAGATTTATCGTTTTCTCTCCTCTGGCCGTGGAGAGCTCGCAGTATCCATGGCTTCCTTCATAGTCGTCTTCTTCTTCCAACATCTTAGTATCCATTAATCGAGCCAACTCTTTGCTGTTCTGTGTTCCGCTTGATTCTTGTTTTGTATGTTATGAATTGAGTTCGATTATAAAAATCTTTTACATCAATTTGAAATTTGGGGTCGAGCTACCGACAACTATAAAATTCACAACTCAACCGAACCCAACTCTCAATTTTTGAGTTAAATTCAGTTGAGTTGTCAAATTATTTTGTTTAACGGTTTAAAGAAATCCTGATTATATAATCAAAATCTCGTAGAACTCAATATCAAACATTTATAAATCACAACTCATCACTAATATAGGTTATAAGCAGTAAATATTTTAAAAGTAGGGTATGGTACCGTCTGATTAAAACTCTATTTTCGAGTTAGTCAAATTTATTTGACCAAAAAAAAAAAGAAAAATGTCACATCACAAACCAACTCAAATTTTTTGTTTTTAAAAAAATTTGAATTTAATACAAACTGAAAAATTTCTAACCCAACCCAACTTTTATAGTTTGGGTTGAATAGTTCGAGTTGGTCGAGTTCTCAAGTGATATGAAGTAACACACAGAACAAAGAAATGAAATCTTTGGAGCTTTCTAAGTACAAATTCAATGACTAATGTCCGATGGCATAAAAGTCTTACAAAAGGTTAACTGCAACTCGATAATGGCTATTTAATTTCAAAATTTCTGAGACTAAAATGGTAATACAAAGCTGAAAAAAGAGACCTGTGATGGATAGTACAAAGAATGATTGTAATCTAAAATGCTACAAGACTTGGAAGAAAAGAAAAGGTTAAAAAAAGGTAAAAATGGAAGTCAATATGAACAGCAAGCAAGGAATCAACACTGAAGTAAGCAAGAAACTGAAACCTAAGTGAACAAAGTTACAACGTCTCTGCGGTATCCTCTAACGATCAAGAGCCGAGGCACGTTCTCAACCAACAAATCCAAGTACTCCATATAGAAGTATGCAGGATGGTCGACAGGAGGTGGCGGGAGGCTAACGAGCACGACAGCAGCCATCCTCGAGTATCTCAGAATCGTCGAGTTCAACTTGAGAGTTGTATTTAGAAACTTCCCAACCTGCTGCTCATTCACACTGACAGGCTTCCCATCAGCCATGAGTGTGGTACCTCTGCTCTTAGCTGCTGCCTTCATTTCACCTAAATAACTAGCAATCCTCCCTTGAGCAGCAGTGAAGGCTTCCATCGATTCATCTGGTTGCGCGCCCTCCACTTGCGTGTCCCATGATTTTATCGTTATAACGATCACCTCAGCTTGCATCCGAAGATCATACAAAAACTTTTTGACATCAGCTTTGAGGCCCTCCGCGTCGGAATCCTCCTCTGCAATGCAGAACACCTGAATCTTACAGCTTTCAAAGGTCTCCTTTGTAAGGAGAAGCTGAGAGAGGAGAAGCATAAGACCACCATCTCTCACAATCCAGTACAAGTCGATAGTTCCATACTGCCTCTGAAATTCATTAGGCCATTCATCCAGACCCTTAACAATGACAACTGCTTTGTTAGCATCAATGCAGTCGTTAATTATTCCAACAAAAGTAGTCGGAATTTCTATTAGATTTTCACGACGCCATATTTCTGGATATCGCATCACTACAATATTTGGCTTGAGATTTCCGAGACCCATCGTCTGAACGATCCCCCTGAAACCTTCAGACATTGTGGGAGCCACAACAATCTCTGCCACACCTTCACAGCGTTTGTAATCAATATATGTAGCAAGCTGCTTGCAGGCAGATTTTGCATCTTCAACCCGTTCATGGTAATCTCCATCTAGAATGGAGACAAATATGGACATTCCACGGCCTTTTTTCTTCATGCAGTTTGCAAAATCTGCAAGTTTAGGGTGACAGGGTACATTTTCTGGCAGCTTTCCCCATGGCCGGCAAAATATCAAGGGAATGGGATACCAATTCTTTGGGTGGACTTGGCTAGCTGCAATATAAATATACTGCTATATTAACAACAGTAACAAACATCTACAGCAGTACATCCACTCATATGTAAGCCAAAGATAGCGAACGAGTCATCAAACTCGCAAACAACGAAGGAGAAGAAAAAAGAAAGGCACGTCCTGTATGACTCCCAGCATAAAAAGAGAGAACTGTTAACCTTGGACAAACCAAGCATTACGGAATCCTAGGAGTTGAGTCCCCATAGTTAAAGCAGATACAAAGCTCTAAAACAAAGTGAAAGCATGCAGGGAAAAAAATCCTTAAAAAGAATTCAGGTTACCATACCCCTTCCCAATGCCTTTCCACAATCAGTTATTACAAAGCTAATAACCGACCGAACGTATCCATAACAGTGCAAATGGTCCTCCACAACAGAACAAGTTATAGAATGAACATCCAAATTAAATGAAACCAAAAACACTACCATAAAGCAAATGACCCAAAAACTATAGTCAAGATAGTGTTTATAGGTATTATGCTCACCTCCAAGCGAACGAAGACTGCGAAGAGCAAGTTGGAAATATGCACTCTTGAAACCATCACCCCAGTCCCCAGCCTTACCTCTAAGGCATACATAATAATATAGTAGGCTTGCAAGGGCTAGAGACACTATCGTGAATGACCACGAGATCAAGAACATTATCACTGTAAACAAAGAAAGAAATTGAGTAAATGACAACTCATATTGGTTCGGAGGGAGGGACAGAGAGAGCCATGCAGGAGATGACAGGCACATAAATGGTTCTAATGACTAGCAAAACGTACTCATGTCCAACAAATAACAGTTAGTTGATGCAAATATTTCAATCCTTAGATTTTGGGAATGCAATTAGTCACGTGTCCGATAGAAACATCAGAAAGAAAAATATTACCTTATTTTTCATTCATAATAAGTAGAACATACAAGAATTTGTTGAATATGTTACACGAATTATAATGCTATTCATCATTGAATTTATTAGCAATTGTACGCACGTAGATAAAATGGGAAAAATAAAACGTAAGAGATTTCTCTTTATTATAGCGACTTTTTGTAGAGTAGTGCGCCAAATAGGCACTCTGAGATTTCAAGTAATGGAACAAAATAGAATGTTTCTGAGCTAAAATCAGAAAAACTAAACAATAAAAGCACTTGATTCTAAAAAAATCACTCACTACATATTTGAAAGTATAGCATACCTACACAAAGTGATGCTCCAAGAAGAGAGAGGCTCCAATGATGGAATCTCCAGCGTGGACGCCAACTGGGAGCGTCTAGTAGGTCCAAAAGGAAGCAGGATAAGTTCACACCAGCATAACAAAGTAGGAAAAACATGGTTACAGTTGGTGTGATAAGATCAAGATTCCCAATTATCACACATCCGATGCAGAGAAATGCAGTAAAGAGGGTTGCAAAGTATGGCTCACTGCCATCTGCTACTTTAAAATAGTTTAGAATAGGCAATATATCATCATTGGCTATGGCTGCTAGTAAGCGAGGGGCTCCTGTCAGACTCTGAAGGGCAGCTCCAAGGGTTGATAAAATAATTCCAACATAAATAAGTGCTGGGAAAGGCCAAGCAACCGTAGCAGTAAGAAGCCTACATAAGAAATTTTGGTTCAGCATAGAAACATTCTGAACTGCTCAACCGAAGCCTACATAAATAATGTATTAGTATCGAATTCCACCCTCCCATCTCTAAGGACTGCTCAACTTTCTATTTATACTTCAACTTTGAATCTGATGCCTAACATTGATTTTTAAGGGGAAAAAAACATAATGCTTCAGCTATCACATATTCTCAAGGATTTGACCAATGTCAGAGATCTTTCCCATCCAAATCACTCACTAGCAATTTCTCTATAAGCCACTCAAATAGTCATGTCTCAGAATTTCCAATGATCTAACATTTACATCAATTCACTTGGTATTATGACATATGTTACCTGTCCGTCAACAATTTCTCTCTAGTTGCCAGTGCTCCAAACAACAACACAGAGACCAGATATAATGCAGTTGTTGTCAGAGTTGCAGCCAATGTTCCAATAGGAATTGAACGCTGAGTATCCTTCAGTGAAGCTGATCTATTAGAACCAGCCATTATTCCCGTCACAGCAGGGAAAAAAAGACCAACCAATGCACTGCAAAGAAAAAAAAAAAAAACGAAAAGAAAAGAAAAGAAAAGAACAGAAGAAGCTAAAAATATGACCAGTAATAG